GAAACAATCAGTGGGGTGAATATAGAGCCTACACAATGGGAGCAAATCTTTACTACAAGCACATCAGTTGGAGCACTAATCTCTAGGATATACAAAGCACTCAAAAACCTTAACACCAAAAAAACAACCTAATCAATAAATGGGCCAAGGAACTGAACAGACACTTCTCAGAAGAGGATATGCAATCAATCAACAAATATATGACAAAATGTTCAATATCTCTAACAATTAGAGAAATGCAAATCAACTGTAAGATTTCATCTCACTCCAGTCAGAATGGCAGCTCTCGCAAACCACAATAAGTGTTGGCAAGGATATAGGGGGAAAGGCACACTCATACATTGCTGGTGGGACTGCAAATTGATGCAGCCAATCTGGAAAGCAGTAAGGAGATTCCTTGGAAAACTGGGAATGGAACCACCATTTGATCCAGCGATCCGACTCCTCAGTTTATACCCAAAGGACTTAAAAACAGGGGCTGGGGATGTGGCTCAAGTGGTAGCGCGCTTGCTTGGCATGCGTGCAGCCCGGGTTCGATCCTCAGCACCACATACAAAGATGTTGTGTCTGCCGAGAACTAAAAAAATAAATAAATATTAATAAATTCTCTCTCTAAAAAAAAAAGGACTTAAAAACAGCATACTACAAGGACACAGCCACATCTATGTTTATAGCAGCACAATTCACAATAGCTAAATTGTGGAACCAACCTAGATGCCCTTCAGTAGATGAATGGATAAAAAAATGTGGCATATATACACAATGGAATATTACTCAGCAATAAAAGAATAAAATCATGGCATTTGCAGGTAAATTGATGGAGTTAGAGAAGATAATGTTAAGTGAAGTTAGCCAAAAAAATAAATGCCGAGTGTTTTCTTTGATATAAGGAAGCTGATTCATAGTGGGATAGGGAGGGGGCATGGGAGCAATAGACGAACTCTAGATAGGGCAGAGGGATGGGAGGGAAAGGAAGGGGGCATGGGGTAATTAATGATGGTTGAATGTGATGATCATTATTATCCAAAGTACATGTATGAAGACACAAATTGGTGTGAGTATACTATGTATACAACCAGAGATATGAAAAATTGAACTCTATATATGTAATAAGAATTGTAATGCAATCCACTGTTAAATATAAATGAAAAAAATTTAAAATGCTTATTATAAAAATATGCTTTTGTACATCTACAACTAAAAAAAATTTTTTTTTTAAGTATTTTGGGCTAGGCGCGGGGTCACATGCCTGTAATCCCAGCAGCTCGGGAGGCTGAGGCAGGAGGATCACAAGTTCAAAGCCAGTCTCAACAATGGCGAGGTGCTTAGCAACTCAGTGAGACCCTGTCTCTAAATAAAATACAAAATAGGGCTGGGATGTGGCTCAGTGGTCAAGCACCCCTGAGTTCAATCCTCAGTACCTGCCCCCACCCCCAAAAAATTTTTTTGGTTAAAAGAAGGAAGAGGATAAGGAAATGTTTTGTTTTGTTTTTTAACTGAGAAGGAAAAGTGCCCCCATCTGCACAGCTGAACCTTAGAAACCAGCAAGGGGTGCTAGGGGATTAAGGACAAACACTTACAGAGAGAAAGCTGGGACCAGGTGTGACATGGTCCTCTGATGGAGGAACAATGACCCAGAGCTAGCTCAGCACATTTATTATATAGGTTTTATCATCAAAAGGCTTTCTGTGGAAAAGTTTCTTCAAAGCAGGCATGCTTGAAGGTCGAAACTCTTGCAAGCAATTATAATTATCTAGTTACCCTCCTAATTCTCTATCCCTGGCCACTGTGCCTGAACTCAAGGTCAAGACTGATACAATTCCATGCCTTACACAGAACTTCCTCAGGCTGAGCATCACCATAGCAACTGGGCAAATCTTGTCCTGCACCTTTGCACGAAGGGTCCCAGAGCAGCACAGCCACAGCCCACAGGCAATCAAAGACCATGAACCAAGTCACCATTCTCCACAGAAAAGAATGGAGGAAGAAGCAGGAAAGTAAAAGGAGAAAAGAGAGAGGAAGAGGAAGCTTATTTCTTAGTCTCAGATAAGCCATGACCTATGGCATAAGGCTGTACTTTTAAACATGAGCTCTTAACAAAACAATACCATCATCAAGTAAAGTTTATCTATAATTATCATATTTATTGTTCAGAATTTAAAAGTTGAATACAGGATTTCTATTTTGGTAACTGCAAGAGGGCCAGGAAATGTAGGGGAGCAAATGGAATCTTTGGAGAGACTTCCTGTCTCTGCCACTACTAGAAAACTAGTTTCAACAATTTGTCACCACCCAAAGGTAACCTGCACTTGCAAACAGGTCTTACTGTGATGGTGGGGATTGGGAGCTGCCTGTTCCCCATTCAGAGAGAACAATGGTTGCCACGGGGTGTCTCTTGGGGAGGATGATCATGTTTGGCTATCTTATTGCAGCCATTGGGTGGCCTCAACCTTGCCTATTTTCTTTTTCAGTTTCAGAGAAATCCCTGCTCTCTGAGGAACTTCTAATTCCTTTTGAGTATGTGTGATCTGAGAGTCATCAGATAGACACCACCACTCCAAAGGACTTACTGCTCCTGTGATGGTAAGGGTTCTCATATGGCTAGAAACTTCTTTTTACTTTCCATTTTCTTCCTACCTCAGTCATTCTGGGAGAATATGGTTCTTGCCATGAAGGACTTGTATTCTACTATATTTACTTGACTATAAACATCCTACCATCCCAACCAAACATGAGCTTGGAAGGAGATATTGAGTTGAGGCTTGAGAAATCAGGCAGCATGATGGATGAGAAATAAGGAGAATCTAGAAAACCCCAAAGGCAGCTCTAGTTTGAGTGGAAGATTTGGGAATACTGCAGAGTATCTCAGCACTTTTCCTTCTTCTTTGGTTTCCTTTGTTTGGTACAACAGCCTTTCTGGCTGGATACCAGCTCCAAAAAGGTTTTCTCTTCTACAGCATGCCCTATCTTTTTTTTTCCTCACCTTTCCTAAGAAGTATCCTCAGCTTAACTGGATGAATGAAGACAGCTTTAGTTAACTCCCTGTCATAGACACTAAAAAATGGCAATATATCTGGTCATCCATGCAGAAGGTACAGAATGTAGAAAGTGAATAAAATCAAGCCCCCTGCTTGGTCTTTCTCATTTTAAGATGGCAAAAAGTTGGGGTAAGGGGTGTCAGTATAAGGGGGAAGCTCAGGAAAGAATAAGACAGTGATTTCTTGAAATAGAAATGGAAGCAGGGCGTAGTGGCGCGTGCCTATAATCCCAGCTACTCAAAGGAAATAGGATCACAAATTCTAGGCAAACCTCAGCAACTTAGACCCTGCCTCAAAATTCAAAAATAAAAATAAAAACGGTTGGGGATGTAGCTCAATGGTGAAGCACGTGCCTACTGGGGTTCAATCTCTAACACAACACACACACACACACACACACACACAGAAATAGAAGTGGAAGGAGAAAGAGCATCCTTGAGCTTCTCTGAGGAGAAGGTACTTAAGATGCATATTTCTCTTCAGAGCTACATCCAACACTAACATGTACTGGAAATGGATCATAGTAATCATGTTGCTGGCCCTCGTGAATATCTTGCTCTATGAGAAAATCTACCAGAGTGAATATAAGCATTTTGGGGTGAGTACTAGAACCTGATAATGGAGCCAATTTTCAAGTATTAAATGAGAAAATAAATATAGTCAATACTGAGCTCTCCTTCTATGTGGAACACTCTAAAATCTCTACAAGTTCTCTCAGAAAAAAAGAGGTGAATTTTTTAGAGTAAATTTTTCAATTGAACTTAAATTTTTAAATTGAACTTTCCTAAATAAAAGGGAATTTATTTTCTGTCAACTACCCATCAAGAAGCAGGAGAAAAAGTAATTTGTTATAACTCAGTAATGACAGTGCAAAAGAACAGACAAAAAAAAATGGAGAAATTTCCAGGAAAAAAAATAAGTAAGATTAGATACAGAGAAGTGGAGAGATTCGATGGCTAATTTGTTACCAAAGAGATACCTTAGGAGAGGGATAAGGATGGGAGTTGTCTGAAACTCCAGGATTTCAAGAGCTTCCCTTCAGAAATTCCATAAGGGTTTTCTACACCATTGAAAATCACTAAATATGAAACATGTCAGCTTGAATCACACTTTTTTCAATTCATAATTTTAAAGTATCCATTTTCCACTGGTCATTGAGATATGGATAGGACCTGAATAGGGATATGGAGAGGAGGAGGCATTCTAGGGGCGAAGAGGGTGGTGCACAGATACCTCTAGAGGACTGTGCTTATAGGCTGGACCTCAGGCAATGACAACCACAGGGCTGCTGCCACCATCCTCACCAGGACCTGACAGGGGACATGTAATTCATCCCATTTCTCACATGAAGGGACTTGAAGTAACTTCTCGACTGTAAACACCTGCGAGTGAGAAGACCAAATCACACATGGGGGCGCACTCAGGCTTTGGAATCCACATTTTGTCTGGGCTGCCTCAGACCAGCCAGACAGAAGCACAAGGTGGCCTGGGGAAGGGGTGCAGAACTGGGTGTGGTTAGGCTGAGCGAGAGAAAAAACTTCAGACTGACCTGTGGCTGTGAGTTCCCTGAGCACAGGACCAGGCCTTGTCTTCAGCGTCTCCCTCAGAACCCAGCCCAGGCCTCAGGAGAGGCAGATGACACTGACCAGCCTGCTGATGATAAAGAAAGGGTGTGGCCAGAGGCAAGTCTACTCTGCATGGGCCTAGGAACTTCCCAGACACATTCCACACAAACCTGGCCACACATGCCCCACTCAGGGCCATGGCTTCTGCTGGGAAGCACCTTGAGGTGTGACCAGGTGGAGAGAGAGGGTAGCTGAGCCCTAACATTCATTCTCCCTGGTGACTGGGTCCTGGGGCTCATTCAGCCTGCCCTCAAGGGGGATGTGCCCCTCAGTTGTCTCCAGAGGGTCTGGGGATAAACCTCATGGCTGATACATATCTATCTTGTCCTCAGAAGGAGAAGAAAGAAATCCTTCAGCAGACAGTTCAGGAACAAATCAACTCTGAAATCAGTAACCACCTGGAAGTCTTCAGGGAGATGCAGAAAAACTCCCCTCTACTCCAGTGTGCCAACTACACACTCCTGGCTGGAGCCCTTCCCCAGGAAAAGAGTGAGTATGGGGGCTGCAGGGAGCAGGCAGACTGGGCAAAGGTCAGACAAGGTATTTTAACTAGAAAAGGGGAGGAGGGCAAAGCGGAGTGAGCTGGTGGCTGGCAAGCACAGGAGGGCACTGTGAGCCAGGGCCGGGCTAGGGAATTCCAAGCAGGTCGCAATCCTGGGTGCATTTTCCTCTCTCCTGTTTACCTCTTGAATGCCCCACAGGATGAGAAGACCATAGTGACCCTGTGATGGAGCCACCCCATGTGAAGCTCAGTCATGGCAGGCCCCCCGGGGGGGGGGGGAGCCAGGATGAGAGAGGAGCCCAGGGGAGCCCTGGGAGAGAGATCCAGGTAGAGGGAAAAAGGCCGTGTGGGCTCTGTGTCCCAATACATTTTACTGCCAGACCCTGAGGCTTGCAGGGGTCCATGGAGATTTTCTAATCTAGGTCTGAGTGACCCATGATGACTGAGATCATTCTGAAGGTCAAAGTCTTGCTAAGCATATTTGTCTTTGCTACATGGTGACCTCCTGCATCAGAAATAGCCTTGTCCTTCACAAAGGTTCCCCGACATCCTTTCAAAGTACTGGACAAAAAAAATCACTTCACAATTTCTGATCCCTTAGTAACTCTCACCTGGACCATACACTCCCAGGGGGGGAAAAAATGTGAAATTGTTGCAGGGATTGGCATGAAGGGGAGGGTCTTAGGAGAGTCCTAGGAACTCTCCACCATCCTGAAGTGCTAAAGGTCTCCCTGTCTCTCTCAGAGCTGCTGACAGTGGGCATTTCCTCAATGCAACGCCCCCAAGGGAGCTACCTCTTGGACACCCTGCAGTCCCTGTTCCAAGTTTCCTCAGAAGCTGAGCTGAAGTCTATGATGGTGCTGGTGCACCTGTCAGACCCTGACCCTGAGTGGCTCACCCAAACAGTGGCCAATATTTCAGGCCTCTTTGCACTACACATTAAGGCCAAGAAGCTGCTTGTGGTCCACGGGCTTCTGGATGACTCCTCATTGAGGAACATAAACCAATCCTCACCCTGTGAAGAACTTTATTTCAGGCAGAAAGTGGATTATGCCCTCCTCATGAACTTTGCAAGCAACCTCTCTGATTACTTCCTGTTGATGGATGATAATATTTTTTGCACCCCTAATTTTGTTTCTTCCATCTCTCGGGCATTATCAGCCTGGAAAGAATACCCTTGGGTGGTCCTGGAATTCTCCAGCCTGACATTCTCTGGGAAAGTTTTCCACTCCAGTGACCTCTCCCACCTGGCCTCTTTCTTCCTCCTCTTCCTCAAGGACACTCCCACTCACTTGCTTCTGTCAAATTTTGGTTTCCTCTTGGGCCAGACAGCTCCAATTAGCCTTACTCCCAAACTCTTCCACTCTTGGGACAATGGTTTTATTTCTGAGGATACTTGTTACAAAGAGAAAGAAGAGAAAAAGAAGATTGGTAAGCCCAACAATCCTCCTGCCCGTATCTACACTGACATGTTCTTCCGAGACTTTTTTCTCCCAGAATATGCCTACTCTCTGGACCTTAAGTACTTCAAGACTCAACATGTCTTCACAGGCCAGACCTTTACTGTGGTTTTTAAACAGTCTTACAAGGTGATCCAGATAGAAGTCATTACAGGGATTGGTATATGGGGGATATGTCGCTTGGAACATGGGCAGGTAGAATTGGGTTACCTTCCTATAGGGAAAGGACATATCTGTAACCGCTATGTCCTGCTAGGACCATTGGTGAAAGGCCAGCTCAATCAGGAGGTATATTATGACAAAGACTTTGTGGAGGAAGTAAGATGTGTGCGACTGCTAGTGACAGCACCCCAGCAATCTAATTTATGTATTGTAGGGATTCATATCTGGATTCATGTCTGACAAAGTAGAAATAAAATGGCCAGTGTGGATTCTGAAAGGATCAGATTTGGGAATGGATCTATGTCAAGGAATTAAAGGTTTTAAATTCATTAGGAACATCACATTCATAGTTATTTCAGGCTACTTAATATAGATGACACAGATTTATAAGAGGTAGAAAGAAGACTGGTTCTTCCTGGCCCCGAAGAGCCAGAGAGATGGACGTATTCACCAACAATTTGCCCAATTTTGATTCCACACAGATCTCTTATTCTAAAATTTCACCCTGAGATAAGTACTACTTTGAGTATTGGCAATGGCCTGATGTAACATGAACATAGAACTGAAATCTGACTTCATGCAAGATCCAGTCCTCCAAAATGTCAAACATTGGGCCTTACTGTGAGTCCAAGAATGAGCTTTTGGCTGCCCATTGAAGTCCTTAGAAGTAGATGCTAATCTTTGTATATTTTCACGTCTACATTCCTCTAGGACAAAGGCACATAATATTTATTGGTGCTTTTCATATGCCAAAAAAACACAAATTACTGAACTGGTAGATATACTTTCTTTTCTGGGGGGGCACGTAACTGGGTGGGTAAGGGATACTTAACCACTGAGCCACATCCCCAGCCCTCCTCAGCCCTTTTTTTATTTTGTGACAAGGTCTCACTAAATTGCTGAGTCTGGCTTTGAACTCATGATCCTCCTGCCTCAGCCTCCCAAGCATTGGGATTGCAGGCATGCATTACACTCAGCACTCCGTATACTTTCTTGACAAAAGTACACAATTCATTGGCTTTGGGAATGAAACTACCTATTTTGCATTTATAGTTTAGGAACTGAGACCATTCCTTCATTCATTTCTTCATATATTCATTCAGAGGTGTTAATTTTGTGAATTCTTTCTGTTTGACCTATTCAAGGCAATAAAGATTCTAAGGTGAACAAGACATTGTTAATGCTAGCAAGACACTAATAGCAAAGGCAAACACTTAGTATTCAAAACTATTAGTAGTTTAAGATTCTTTAGGATTTTCTTTGTGTATAATCATATATAGTAATAAATATGTATAAGTTCAATTCGATCTCAATAAAATTCCAAATAAATAATTTGTTGTTTCCTTTATAGTTAACATTTTAATTTTAAGACCTGTTAGAGTCTGTAAACAAGTCAGGATGGCGCCTGGCATTTTGCCAGAGGGAGTGGTTAATGTTAAAGTCTGTAAACAAGTCAGGATGGCGCCTGGCAAATATTAGAGTCTGTAAACAAGTCTGGATGGCGCCTGGCATTTTGCCAGAGGGAGTGATTTGTGAAGTAACGCCAGCAAGCCATTAAGTGTGGTGATTCCTTATTGGTTGACTGCTGTATCTATTTTATATTAATTAAGATAAGCTGTGTGGAATGTATATATACCACTCCTGTCCTACAATAAACGGCTCCCATTCCTGCTGTATCAATCTACACAAGTTGCTCGTCACTCCCTGGTTATTTTGCTATAGCCAGACTGCGGCAAAGACCCACCTGTAAAAATGCATGACTGTAATTAAATACCTGATGCAGTCTACTTATAAAGAAAGAGGTTTATTTCGTCAGGTTTCTGGAGTTTCAGGTCCAAAATTGGGTGGCTTCATTAGTTTGGGCCTCTGCTAAATATAGCACATCATGGCAGGAGTGCATGTTGGAATGAGTGCTCATACCTCAAACCAGAAAACAGAGAAAGACAGGAGAGAAAGAGACTGGGACCCCATAGTACCTTTTGAGACAGACCCCCAATGACCTAAGGACTTATCCTTAGGCCCCACTCTTAAAGGTCCATGGTACCTCCCAATACTGCAACCTGGGGACCAAGTCTTTACCTGCAGACCCTTGTGAGATACTGCCTGTAAGTACACCAAACTTATTCCTTCCTCAGGACTACTGAACTTTTAGATATCTCTGCCTGAAAGTCTCTTTCCACATATCTTCTCCCCATATCTCCAATATCCCGTCTGTAAAACCCTCCCCTTCACCCTAGCTAAGCACTCTTCTGATCAAGCTGTCACATTACTTTTATTGTTTACCTGTTGTTTGTCTCCAAGGCAAATTCCTTGTATTGATTTACTCTTTTTCCCCATCAGCCAGAACGAAGCCAAGCTCAAGGTAGGAATAAATAGATACCTGTTGGCCATCTGTCTCACTTATATAAACTCTCCTAGGCCACAGGACATAGGACATAGGAAGCTGTCCCATATATTTTGGGTCATGTCATACCTACAACATAGAAACAAAACTATACCCAATATTCCCTTCAAAGATGCTGACCTTTCTTTCCCAAGATCAACTCCTGTGGGGAGCACCAGGACACAGAGAAAATAATGAGAAATCCCAGAAGGCATGGTGTGAGCTCTTTTGAACTAGACAGATGGCTTTTTCTGGATAGGAGTCAGCCAGGCTGAGAGGGAAAAAATGGGAGCTGTTGGAATTGAGCTCCTGCTTCTTGCCTGCTCTGCTTTGGGACAGATAACCTGTCCCTACATCTGAAACAACTTAGAACTCTGGGGTCTTCAAAGGTAAAAGCAGGACAGTGCATAAATCCTGTGCCTATAAGGAGCAAAGCAGGACAATTGAGGACTAACTTGTAGAAGATGCTCCTCCAACCCTTCTTCCTAACCCCAGGACTAGTCAACCTCCACTGAAGGAATGTTGTCATCTTTTTTTAAAGTTGTTTATCTCAGGTATTTTGTCACAGCAATGTAAAGCTATTAAATTCATGTTATCCTGTCTGTGATATTTGGAACAGAGATGGTTTATAATGTTATTTTATTTATAATGCTGAAATACCAACATATATGTGGAAAAAGGAGCTTCTTAAGGGAAACATTCAACATGACTTATCTCACAGTAAACTGACACAGAATCACCTTGGACAAATATCTACTCTAGGAGAAGTACTAGGGTCACTGTGTAGAAGAAATAGTGGTTCCAGGAGAATCAGATAATTTTATTTCTTTTTTTCCCACAGTCTGTCTCTCTCTCTCTCTCTCTCTCTCTCTCTCTCTCTCTTTCTTTCCTTTTTTTTTTTGTTTGTTTTTTGAGACAAGGTTTCGTTAAATCGCCAAATCAAACTTTCAGTCCTCCTCCTGCCTCAGGCTCACATGTAGCTAAGACTACAAGCATGCACCACCATACCTGGCTCTCCCTTAGTTTTCTGTTTTGTTTTGTTTCTTTTTTAAATTTCTTTAGTTGTATATGGACACAATACTTTTATTTATCTATTTTTGTGTGGTGCTAAGGATAGAACCCAGTGCCTCACATGTGCTAGGCAAGCACTCTTCCACTAAACTACAACCCCAGCACCCTCTCCCTTAGTTTTTTTAAATGAGATATTTTCAAATCACAAAAAATCATCCTTTTAGTGTAAAATTTAGCACTTTTAGTTTATCTGCAAAATTGTGCTACTATCACCAGTATCTAATTCCAGAACATTCTAATCACCCAAAGAAACCCTGTGGCAAATATCAAACACTTCCCATTTTCCCCTCTATCAAACCTCTCTCAACCATCAATCTATTTTTTGTCTTTATGGATGGCCTGTTCAGGACATTTTATATAAATGGAATCACAATATAGAGCCTTGTGTTTCTGGCTTTTTTACTTAACATGATTTCAAGGTCCATCCGTGTTGCAACATAACTCAACACATCATTCCCTGAATTTCTACATAATATTCTACTGTATAGAATACCACATTTTGTTTATCCACTTAACAATTGATAGATATTTGAGTTGTTTCCATTTTTTTGACCATTTCAGATAATGCTACTTGAGCATTTATGTACAAATTTGTGGATAGACATATTCTTTCAATTGGGTATACACCAGGAGTAAAATAGCTGGCTCATATAGTAACCCTATCTTTAACTTTTTGAAGAACAATTCAATTGTTTTCCATGGTGCTGTTTCATTTTACATTCTCACCATAAATGTAGAAGTTTTCCAATTTCTCCACATCTCCACCAAAATGTTATTATCCATCTGCTTCATTATAGCCATCCTAATGGATATGAAGTAGTGTCTCACTTCAGTTTTGATTTGCGTTTCCCTGGTGACTAATGATGTTGAGCTGTAAATGGTATGAAAACCACCATTTTAAACACAGGAAACCTCCAGAAGCTGTTCCTCCACACACTTTTTACCAAAGAAATATATTCCAATAAAAATTTTTGGTAGTGAGGCTGGGGCTGTAGCTCAGTGGCTGAGCACTTGCCTAGCATGCATGAGGCACTGGGTTCAATCCTCAGCACCACATAAAAATAAATAAAATAAAGGCATTTTGTCCATATACAACTACAAAAATAATTTAAAATTTTTTTTTGGTAGTGTAGGTAATTTTATTCCATGTCTCTGAATTCCTGATGGTACTTATCAATAGGAGTTCTAATACCTGGAACTCTTCATCCATGCTGTCTTCTAAACAGCTTGCCACTGCATTGAATTCTGCAATAGAAGTGGAAAAGGTGAGAGATACAGAGGTAACCATCACCATAGAAGAGGAGGCCTCTGCAGTACTCCCCCAGGAACTGGCACCATGATCCTTGGCCCCCAGACCAAAGCCACCCTGCTCACTGAATAGTCTTGTGCCTGAGCACCAAGTCCCTCAAAGGCAGCTTCCTGGGGCCAAGTCTGTGCTCATCCCTCTCTACATCATTCTTTTTAGGCATGGTCTTCAGTTACAGGGAGAAGAAGTATAAGTGTATTGAGGGAATAACAAGGATCAAGAAGGGGAAGATGAAGAAGGGAGGAGAAAACAAGGAAAAGGAAGAGGGAAAGGAGAGAAAGTACCCTAATATTCTGAGCAAATGATGTTACCAAAGCAATTTTGTCCCCAATTCAAAGATGATTTTTATTGCAGATTTAGGTTTGTGTTTTTTTGTTTGTTTTTGGTGGTGGTAGGGTTCAAAGTGGACACTGCAATCCCAGACTTATAAAAGTGATGTTATATTGCCATTTTTTTCCTCAGGTAGCAACAAAGTATATATTATCCAGAGCAGGAATGGTGGGAGGAGAGTAAAGGGTGAGGAAAAACAAATAGAACATTAATTATGAAGGATGACATAGAAGATGACAAGATAAAGAGACACAATGGAGAATTTTAGGAGGAAATGACAGCCTGTCTGGAATACAAGGGAATTGGAAATTTCCTTAAAAAGGTAAAAGTGGTCAATTTGTGGAGACTTACCCCTTCTCTGAACATTCTGAGAGAAGCCACACTTGGTAATCGCTCAAATGATGCTTAGAGAGTTCCTCAGTGACTTCATCTCTGTTACCATAAAGTCAGATTTCAATCCACTTTTCTCACTGTGATTCAAGATATTCAACCAGATATTAACGAGAGATCTCTGACCATTGGGATTTGGGGTCATTTTTACTTTTTTTATTTGTAATTGATTTAATAGTTTACATTGAACATGTATCATATTTACAATTAGGGGGAAAATGCAAAAAAAAAAAACTAGTTATATTTTGGAGAAATATATAACTGAGATACAGTCCACATCCCTGGACTAGAAACCAGGAAGCTCATATCAAGGCCTTTCTCACCATCTCTCCTTACCAAGGAGTGGTGCTTGATGCCAGGCGGGGTTGATGAACAGACCCCATTCAGAGAGAATAATGGTTGCCAGGGGTTGTCATCTGAAAGTGGTGGCCAACTTTGTCTTGCCTCAGAATGTGCATATTCTGGGCCCATCCCAGCCCCCACAGTATTACATTTTCTCCTATCTTTGGGGAAAGCTCTAAACACTCCAGTGGTGTGGATCTCAGTTCTAGTGTACCCAAGGAAATCTCAGATGGAACTGCAACTCCAGCCAAGGTGAGGACGCTTATGTATTGTGTTTGAAACAAAAAAGAAAGACACCAACATTTTAATCTCTTTATTTATTATCTCTCCAGAAGTTCTGGAGAACTGGAAGACTCTGTTAGAAAGAGGGATTGTCTCCTGGACCACTGACTCAATCCCATTCATACACTACCTTAGATCTTTAGTAAGTGTCCATGCTATGTTTTGTTCAGTGAGTCATCTAGAAGGACAGAAGAAAATGACATGAAAAAGATCAGGAATGTTGAATACGTAACCAAAAAGGGTCTAGACTTCAGGTCATTGAAGGGAAGGGTGCCCTTAAAGAACTTGAAATTATTCCAGAGTCCCTGAAAAGCAAACCCTAGAGAAATATAGAAAGGACAGACAAATACAGAAAGGACAGGAAACACCATGGGACAGTCGGGAATATCACAATTGAAAAACAAGAGGCTGACTTAAGGTTCGGGTTTGGAGAGGACAAAATGACCCACTATTTTCTTGGAGCTAGTTATGTTCTGATTTCATCAAGGATTGTACAGAGATCAGAAAGAAGATAATTAATTAGTACGGTCTACAACTACCACATCTACCACCTCACAGAACTCCTGGCTCATCATGAGCCTAATCAAAATCTGTATCAAACCTAAGAATTAAGGATGAAAAGAGGGACTAGTGGACACTCTGAAGGGAATAGAGTTTGAGGGGAGGAGAAGTAAAGGCTTCAGATGTCTCACTCTAGAACATTCCATGATGCTTAATGTAGGATACAGACAAGAGCAAAGTCTAGAGAATGTCTTCCTAACTCCAGAGAGTCAAAGGGCAAAGGAGTCGATAGTCTCTTCCATGATTCCTCTACCATAAACATCCATTAAAAATCAATTCCACACTCATTCCCTCACCACATCTTCCTTACTTTCTCAAGAAATGCAGTCTAATTCAAATATATGAACGAGAATAGTTTCCCATAATGCACCTGAAAGCTTCTATTGGAACGAGCTTTCTGCCCTTCATCTTACCTTCAGCAGAAATCAGGTCAGGGAGTATGAAGGTGGAGACATCTAGGTGGCAAAGAATACAAAATTTAATTAAACAGTGTTGTTCAGAGGGTGGGAAATGAAGGATTGGACCTACATGCAAGAGAAGGGCAGCCCTGGTTGTGGGATTAAGAGCACTAAACATGCATTTCTATACACCTCTCTTCCTCAAATGTTAGAAATATATAGTTCTCTTTTTGAAGGAGAACAATTGTTAAGGATTCTTAAGAATATGTATCTAAGAACCTCGGGTTCAGAATCAATGGCTTTTGAAATTATATTTAATGATAATATCTTTCCATTGTAAGTTATAATTACAAAGAGAAAAAGGTTTTCTTTGTAATTAGAGTATTTTTCATATTACCATCAAATGAAAACTTTTTTCAATAGTGTGCACACTGCAGATATCTGAGAATACATTCAAGGATTGCAGATTGAGAAATAGCTCCATAAGCTCCCAATCTGGCTGCCATGAAAAATTTCCGAAGAAGACTCATCATTATTGCAACAGCGGTAGTTTTCTCAATCTTCTGTTTCATTAATGAAAACCCCTTTGATACTACAAGTTTCCTGTCTTTGGTGAGTATCAGAAATTTTAGATGGGGCCAAATCGAAAACCTTGGATTGGAAGAAAAGACATTATCTTAATGTGTGAAATTATCACAAATACTGCAGAAATTTAAAGAAGAAGAAAAGAATTCCTGAGGAATCAATGTTTCAGTTTTCTTTAATGAATTCAATAAGGGATAATGACACTCTGTAATAGAAAGAAATCAGAGTTGGGAAGGAATAGCATTTATTTAATGCTTCAGCAGATTTGGCCCTTTTCTGTGGATACTGATGAGATAGAAATTTTTTTCCTTGTTTTATAAGCTTGTTTTAGAAACTATCCCTTGGTTTTCAAAGTTATCCATTTTTCTCCATTTTATCCTTCTTTAAGATCCTGAACCTCAGAGAAGTTAAATCATTTCTCAAAACCAAGAAAAATTTTAAGGACTAGAGAAATTCACCAAAAGCCAGAAAAGGCAAAGGGGAGAAGGGAGAGTGGGGAATAAATAGGCAATGTTACACCATGGGTCATGTGTATCTCTTAGCTCATGTTCTTGCAAAAGAAATTTCAAGCAAGAGAAATAAAGCAAAGTATATTAGACGGAAGAGGAAAGCACTCTCAAGGGAGACAGCTGGTCATTTCAGAGAGAGAGTGACATCACACTCCTATATTCCTTAGTTAGGGACGCTTCTAGAGAGTCCTGCCCAGGTACCATCTCTGAACATTTAACCAACAGTAGAATTGCATCTGATTTCTAAGTCCCTGCTGCACATGATTTTACCCATAGGTACCCAAGCTAAACCCATGAGGGAACAAAAATCTTCAATTACAATGAGATGCTAAAGATTTAAAGGCAACTCTTGGTCATCTTGGCCCATGCTGACCAGTTCTAATTGGAACTTGTTTATGTATATTTTATGGTCAGTAGTCTTTGCTTTTAATTATTCTTGTTTCCCTGAGTCTTAGGATCTTTGGTCTGTGTTAAGGTCACAAATGTCCCTTTTCAAGGTAAACTCTCATTATCAGAGTGGTCTTCAGACATGAATTTCTCAGCCCTGAACCTGAGTATAACAGGTTACTTGTCAAGGAATGTAGCATATCTTATTGACTAAGCCAGAGCAGGACTGGAATGGTCTTGAGTAAATTGCTTCTTAAAAGAAAACATGTGGAAGGCCAGCACATAGGCCCAGTCTATAGAATTATCCCCTTAACTTCATGTTCCTACTGCTCATGACTATCTGTTACCTATCAGGAAGAATTTTAGTTTGGGGACTGGGTAGTATTATGTGGCCTCCTGCATCTCACACTTAACACATGCTATGCCCTTCATGGAATTAATGACCCATATTAGACTGTAACCATAGGGATGGTTTGAAGGGGAAGAATGACCTTAGATCATTTCTTGCATATATCACAGGAAAGGTAGAGAAATCCCAACTCCCTCTACCCCAGGATCCATAAGAATCCTTAGCACAGAACTTTTCTAGAAGAAAAGAACAAAACTTGACTTGAGCCTGAAAAATCAGCCGTGTCCTAGAGATTATTTCATTACTTAGTACAAAGGGGGAATTCATCCAGCCATTATTTCCAGAAGTGATGAATCACATAACTGAATCTTACTCTGTCCTCAGGAGGAAAAGAAGCTGGTAAGTTGGCAGAGAATCCGGATGCAGATCACATCTGGTGGAACAAAATACCTCAAAGCCTTCAAAGATATGCAGAAAAATTCAGAACCACTAAAAAATGTGAAATCCCACATCTTGATTGGAGCCCTTCCCATGGAAAAAAGTGAGTGTCTGTAAGGGATGTAGATCATCCAGGCAAGAATAGAGAGGCAAGGTAGGTGGAAAGGAAGGGGAACAGACATCCAGAACTTCCCATCCCCTCTTCTGATAAAATAGGGAGATGACAGGAAAGTCCTGGAGGAAACAAGGGGAAAGGAGATTGTGTCAAGAGGAAGAAGTTGGGAGGTAACAATACAGTGGGCCGTTTTTGAGGGTTCCAAGATCCACTGGAAAAGGGATCCACTTTTTCAAGATCCATGAAAAATACTAGGGCAGGAGCTGAAGCTACTGTCCACAGGAGGAATTTCTTCTAGGGAAACCTCGACTGGGCTCTGAAGGCCTTTCTTCTGCTTTGTTCAGCTCAGCCAGATCACCCAGGAAAATCTGTCTTCCTTAAGTTACACCTACAAAATTCCATCAAAGCAAAACACCTAGCTTAGTGTTTGATTAACTGGAGACTTTAGCTTAGTCAGGTTGACACATAAACGGATAGCAGAAAGAGAATTTTAAATATTTTAAAATGAGCAAGTTTACTTCCAGTTCTGTAAACATTTAAAAGGGATTAACAGTAAATATAATTTGTGAAGGATCATTACACCTTATCTTAGCTGTACATCATTACTATCTGTAATTATTTGAAATATATCTCACAAACCTTGATGATTGTAAAAACACAAAGTTTCCATTTCAGATGAATAAGGACAGAAAGTGTCACAATTAAACAATTTAACCAGAGTCCTTAACTCTTTTTACTAAGTAAAAGGAAAACAAAGAGGTAAAATCTCATATGCATGATAGAAAATGGAGTGGAAAAAAATATTTAATATCAATTAATATACCTCTGATTATGAATTACCTGAAGATCTTAGTTTTGATCAGAAGGTTGTAAATTTAACTTTCTTAACAGTACAGATTAAAACATTTTATAGCCACTATCTGAATTTTAAAAATATTTTTATGTCCAAAAGATTCAATTCATAGTTTCCTTTAAATTAAAAATGATTGCCTTTTCAAAAGGTGATTCATATTTTCCATTTATTATACAAAGGAACTTGTATTAGTCTATTTCCACAAACTTAATATGGATATCACCTTATATCCTAGCTTGCTGAGGATTGCATCAAGAATAGGTATTGAATTTCATCAGATGATTTTGGGGTCATCAATTGATTAATCAATTTAGGCAACTGACTAATTTTTCTCCTTTAATCTATTACTACCCCATTGTACAGCCATCCTTGCATTACCAGTATAAGTGCTACCTGATCATTATGTGTTCTTTTAATGTCCCCCTTAATACAATTTATTTAATATCTTATTTGAAAGTTTTACTTTATGTTGGGCTATAGTTCTATGTGTTTTTACTTTCTTTCAACAAATATGTAAGTACCTACTATATACCAGGCACAATACTAGATAATTTATATCCAAGAATATGGTAGAATCAATGCAAAAACTTTCCATATTTTTTCAGGTCATTTAACAAACTACTTATTTCTCAAGTATTTCATTTTTACTATGAAAACATCTGGACCTAAAATATGCAATTTCTTTTTTCTCTCCCTGCCCCCGCTGCATTTGTTAGTGTTCTATCATTGAGTTATTCCCCCAGAACTACCTTTTGAATTTTTATTTTGAGATAGGGTCTTGATAAATTTCCCAGGCTGGTCTCAAAATAATAATGCTCCTGCCTCAGTTTCCCAAGTTGCTGGGATTATAGGCATGTGCCACCATGCCTGGTTTCACTTTCTTTTAAAGTTCTTTAATCACTCTTAAATTTTATCCAGGTTTTCTACACTATTCTTGATAATTTGATGACTTATACAATTTGATGACTTATATTTTCCTAGAACATCATCCATTGTTGCTATATTTTCAAATGTAATAGATATGTAATTGGTAGTCTTATCATTTTTTAATATTTTATGCAATATGTAAGATACACCAAAAGAATACCCAGTTTAAAAATAAAATTATACGATTAAAGTTCTTCTCTGTATTCCTCACCTATCAATACAACTTATTTTTTATTTTGTTGTTGTTGAGAGTACTGGGGATTAAACCCAAGGCCTGCACACCTACAAGGCAAGTGCTTTACCACCAAGTATAGCACCAGTCCCTGGTTTTCCCCTCCCCTAGAGGTAGTACTGTGCTGAATTTGGTATTTATTATTCCCTTATATTTCTCTATAATCTTACTATATATGTCATTATCCTCAATTGATATTATTTTGCCTATTTTTACTTCACAAAAGTAGCAAGGGGGTCTGGGGATGTAGCTCAGGGGTAAAGTGCTTGCTTAGCATGTGCAAGGCCTCAGTTTTAATCCCCTGCAACATAAAAAAAAAAGTGTTATCCTCCAGGCCCAATGGCACAAGCCTTAAATCCCAGTGGCTTGAAAGGCTGAGACAGGATCACGAGTTCAAAGCCAGCCTCAGCAAAAGCATGGCACTAAGCAACTCAGTGAGACCTGTCTCTAAATAAAGTATAAAATAGGGCTGGGGATGTGGCTCCCTGATTGAGTGACCCTGAGTTGAATCCCCAGTACCTAAAAACAAAACTGCATGTGTTTTTTCCGGAACTTTCTTTTTTCATTTAGTATTATTTTGTGATATTCCTTTCTCTTCTTTTTCACTTACAATCCTATTAATAGAATATATAATAGGATTTGCAGTACCCTGTTATATAACATTTCTTTCACTTAATATCATATTTGTATTATACTATATATATAATCAAGCTATTGCAATTGTTCATTCACCCTTGAGTCACTGAAATGTTTTGACCCATTCTTCTGCTGATGAACACTAAGGTTATTTCTAGGTTTTTACTACTAAGCATGTTGCTACGAATATTTTTGCACACAAATCCTTATAAACACATGTGAGAAATTCTCTAGGGTACATTCTTAGGAGTGAAATTGCTAGAACACAAGATAGGCATATCTTTGTTAGATTTTTTTGCCAAATTGTTCCCTAAAATAGGTTACCAAAAGAAAACAAAAGTACACCCACCATAGTTATCACTGGTTCACTCTCTACTGCCAATTATGCTTTAAATAAACTGACATACTAAAGATTTTTTTTAGCTGCTCAGGAGCCTGAGGCAAGTGGTCACTCAAGCTCAGGAGTTCAAGGCCAGTCTAGGAAACACAGAAAGACCTGGACTAAAAAATAATTTTTTCAATGACTTATCAGTTTATATTCCCACCATCAAGATACAAATCCATGTTGTTCTGTATCCTTGCCATCTGTTACCATTGTCAGATTTTTCAATTTCTGAAATTCTTTAGTTTTAATTTGTTCTTCCCTGATTACCAAGGCAGTTGAGAAATTGTCTATTGATCATTTATGTTTTATCTTTTGTGACATGACAATTCATCCATTTTGTCCATTTTTCTAATTTTTTTTTTAGTACTTTGTTATGGTTTGGCTATAAGATGTCCCCCAAAAGCACCTGTGTTAAATGCAGAAATGTTCTGAGTTGAAATAATTGGATTGTGATAACTATGAACTAATCAGTCCCTCCCAGTTCAAATGGATGGGGTGGTAACTGTAGGCAGGTAGGACTTGGCTGCAGGAGGTGGGTCACTAGGGGGAGTGCCTTAAACAGGTTCATGTTCCCTGGAGCCCCTTCCTCCCCTACCTGGTCTCTCTGCTTTCTGTCTACAATGAAGGAAGAAGCTTTCCTCCACCATATGCCCTCTGCCTCACCTTGGGCCTAGATCAATGGACTCAGCGATCCAGATTAAACCTTTGAAACCATGAGTCTGAAATAAACTTTTCCTCCTCTAAGTTGTTCTGGTTTGGACATTTGGGACACAAAAACCTAACACATACTTATTTTTTAAATTCTTCATTTCACCAGTTACAATGTACTTTCATTCTTAATACTATTTGTATTTTCTTTCTAAGTTTAGTTAATCTTTTTTCTAACAACCAACTTTTATTACTCTTCTTCAGCCTTTAATCTATTGTATTAATTACATTCTGCTTTGACCTTCTTACTTCCACACTGTGCCTCCCTTAGTTTTATTTTTGCCCTAGTTCCTTTGTTTCTCATTTCATTTATTCTTTGTGTTGCATTGTAGCAAATACATTGAAAGCTATTATGTCTCCTCTAAGTCCCACTTTAAACCATTTCTCACAGGTTTTGGTTTCTGGTGTTTTATACCATTTACTTCTAAGTAACTGGTAATTTCCATTTGGATTTCTTCATCAATCCTAGAGATTTAAAACAGTGGTTTTCCATTTCCAAATGGAAGTTTTTGGTTAGACTTCCATGATTACTTTCAGTTTTACTGCATTGTAGTCAAAGAATATAACCCATATAATTGCTATCTTCAGGACAATTATAAATAAAATTGGCTTCATTGTCTAATATACAGTCAATATCTTTGAAGTATATCTGAAAGTATATATATGCATCCTCTGACAATCAGTACACCACATACACATAAACCATGAATTTCTTTAATTATTTTATTCAAAACTCCTGATCTTCATTTTTGTTTAGTCTGTTGATTTCTTTCTTTTTTCTTTCTTTTTTTTTTTTTTTTTGGCACTAGGGATTGAACCCAGGTGCACCCAACCACTGAGCCCACATCCCCAGCCCTTTTTTAGATTTTATTTAGAGACAAGGTCTCACCACGTGACTTGGGGTCTCACTAGATTGCTGAGGCTGGCTTTGAACTTGCAATTCTCCTGCCTCAGCCTCCAGAGCCATTGTGATTACAGGCATGTGATACCACACCAGGCTATTCTCTTGATTTCTGACACAGGTAAAATGTTTCTAAGTGTAATTATGGATCTATTATTACTGCTTACATTTCTAAAGATTTATTTCATGCATAACTTTGAAATAGGTAAGTTCTATTTGTCAAGATTTGTACAATACATCTTTTTTTGTTACTATCTTCTCAATATTTCCATGTCCTGAGTGTATGTATTTTGTCATACAATGTAGACAGCTAGGTTTCATTTAACATTTTTCCAGATGTCTCTCTTCCCTATGGGTCTTGGGCCAATTTAGAAACACATGGGAGTTGGATAAGGAGTTTAGTAAAATAATCCCCCACCCCTTCATTTCACATAAATCTGGATTAGAAAGAGCATTTTGGGTCCAAGAACATAATCAGCTTTCCAATACATCACACTACCACCTGTTCCAATGCCCTTAAGTCCCAAATCTGAAGAAAGAAACTCAAAGCCTGAAAAAAAAAATGGTCTTTAGAGTAGGCACTTAAACATTCAAATAGCAGAGTTGCACCTGCTTCTTGCTCTACTGCATGGAAATTTTTGACCACAGAAGATGAGAATGAGGCTGCATATGCATGTTGCTATCATAACCCAGTCCTAAAATAAAACCATGGGTCGAAAACATTTCATATTTGCCATCTTATTTAATAAATCCATATTGTCATGGAGAGGGAAGTGGGAGTACTTCAAGACTATTTTAAGAAAAGCATGTTCCAGTTTAAATAGGTTTCTACAAGAAACGCAGGCTAGTTTTCATCCCCACAATCTCCTCTATATCTTCTTTCCTGACCCTATCTCCTGGACTTCTGACACCTTTCCACTGTGCTCTCTAGGATTCATGGTCAGTCATCAGCAAAGTTCCCTTTCTTCTTATAGATGGACTGTCCATGGTCCTGTCTAGTTGTAGCCTCTCCACTTTCACTAGATTCCACCTCCTCTTAATTACTCATGCACATCACTTCAATGAGTTGCTCTTTTCTGGGCCATTTTTTTTTTTTTTTTGGTACTGGGGATTGAACCCAGGGGCACTCAGCCACTGAACCACATCCCCAGCCTTACCCCACCACCACCACTTTTTAAAAAATTTTTGATACATGGTCTCTCTGAGTTGTTTAGGGCCTTGCCAAGTTGCTGAGGCTGGCTTTGAACTTGCAGTTCTTCTGCTTCAGCTTTCCAAACTGTTAGGATTATAGACATGCACCACTGCACCTGGCTCCTAAGCCATCAACTTTTTTGTCTCCTATATCATATAAACATGCTATGATTTTTCTAATCTTTTTTTTTTTTGGTACTGGGGATTGAACCCAGAGGCACACAACCACTGAGCCACATCCCCAGCCCTTTTTAATATTTTATTTAGAGACAGGGTCTCACTAAGTTGCTTAAAGCCTTGCTAAGTTGTTGAGGCTAGATTTGAACTTGCAATCCTCCTGCCTCAGCTTCCCAAATTGCTGGGATTATAGGCATGCACCACCATACCTGGCAATTTTTCTAATCTTGATGAAAGAGAGAAAACCTCTTTTAACACCACACATTTTTTTTACCCTCATCACCTTACTAAAATTACTCTTGTTCAGGTAAGTAACCAATGGCTTCCACATTGTTGTACCCACTGGTCACCTTCTAATCTCCATCTTACTTGATCTATTAGAGCATTTGGCCTTTGAACAAATGAATCACAGAGTCAATAACCACCAAGGGGCTGGTGGTGGCAAATCTGTTCTCAAGCTAAACTTTTAAGGGATTTTTATCTGAATAAATAAAGTGGAAGTTCTTCTAGGAGAAAGTCCATGATGTGAGTCCTGGGGCTGGAAAGAACAGAACTGAAGCCAAGAACTCCAGGTAACAGAGAGGAGCAGGAGACAACAAGTGACTATAGTCTTTTCCTCTAGAATGAAGTTCCTAGAAAAATTTTAATATGTCATCTTTATCCATTCCCTCCCACGTGATTTGAGAAAGGTAATGATTTAAAAAAATATTTTAAAAAAAGTTCTCCTTTGATCAGAGAGTAATTCCTAATATGGTTCATATTCAGTCCTGGGGAAGAGAAAACTTACTTAAACAACCATACATACATACATATGAAGATGGCCTATAGGAAGATCTATGAGTGTATCATAACCTCATCCCTAGCAACTACTTTCCACATTTCTCTAAGTTGATAAAGGTCCTCTTTTCTCCCAATCCTAGAACTGCTGACCATAGGAATTTCCTCAGTGCAGCGTCCCCAAGGGAGCTACCTCTTGGACACCCTGCATTCTCTCTTCTTTGCTTCTTCCTTGTATGAGCAGAAATACTTCATTGTTGTGGTACACCTGGGAGATCCTGACTCCAAATGGCTTGATAAAATGACCTCCAGCATCTCCATCCTCTTTAAACAACATATCCAGGCCAGGCAGCTAGTAGTGATCAATACTCCTCGTGAAAGCTATAATCCTTTGAAGAACCTTAAGAAAACCTTTAATGACACCTCCGCCTATGTAGCTTTTCGCTCCAAGCAGAACATGGATTATGCCTTCCTCATGAACTTTGCTACCAACCACTCTGATTACTTCCTGATGCTTGAAGATGATGTAAAATGTGCCCCAGAATTTGTCACCCAGATTGTCACCACACTCTCTGCCTGGGAAAGGAAATTTTGGGTGATTCTGGAGTTCTCTCAGCTGGGCTTCATTGGAAAACTCTTTCACATGAAAGACCTCCCTTATTTTGTTCGTTTCCTTCTCCTCTTTTACCAAGAAAGGTCCTGTGACTACCTTTTGTCCCATTTTCGTGACCTTCGCATGCAGCAAAAACCAATCCGATTTTCCCCCTCCCTTTTTCAGCATGTGGGCAGTTACTCATCCTTTGATGGCAAATTCAATATCCTCAAAGATAAAGAATTTGAGGACGATGACATTGGCCTTCCCAGTAACCCTGCTGCCACCATTTATACCAACCTTAATGTCATCAATAACTCTCTCCTCATGAATGCCTACAGCTTTGATAAAAATTTCTTTTATAGCCAAGAGGTTAAGGCTGGCAGCCATGTGACTGTGATTTTGGACAGGCCTGCTACAGTGTACCGAGTTCAAGTGCTGACTGGCTCTAAAGTAAAGAGGAGGAATCAGCTAAAAGAAGGGCAAGTAGAACTGGGCTATGATTCTACCAATCTGATCCATGACTGCGATGACTATATTCTTCTGGGGATGCTAGAAAATGGCATCTTGAATAAGCAAGTATTATCCAAAGATTCTGGGAAGAAGGTGAAATGTGTGAGATTGCTTGTGACAGCCACTTTACCCTGTGGATTAATAGTCAGAAACATCAATCTCTGGGTTAAAGAAAATTTAAATAATATACAAAAAGCCATTGGGGTTTCTGGGAGTGAGCAGGTTGGAAGTAGAGTCTTCAGAGGTAACAAAACATTAAAGTCTTAAAATTGGCAAGGGACATGTCTTTCTGGGTCCTTTCAGGAATCTTTTATTTAGTTGTAGATTGACACAATGACCTTATTTTATCTATCTATTTTTATGTGATGCTGAGGATTGAACCCAGTGCCTCACACATGCTAAGCGAGCACTCTACCACTGAGCCACAACCCCAGCCAAGGAATCTTAAAACAGAAGGCAAAGCCTGTTGAAAGTCAGAGTGAAGGTATCATCCTCTTGACCCCAGAGAGTCATGGTAGAAAGAGGGGGCTTGTGAAGACCTTCTCTGGTTTCCTATCCCAAAGGGTCTACCATTCTTTCCTGAATCAAGAACACAAGTCTTCTAAAACCCATGAGAAGAGCTGGGGTTGTGGCTCAGCAGCAGAGCACTTGCCTGGCATGTGCGAGGCACTGGGTTCAATCCTTAGCACCACATAAAAATAAGAGTATTGTGTCCTACAACTAAGACATAAATAAATAAAATAATAAAACTCATAAGAATATGCAAGTAAGGGGCTGGGGATGTGGCTCAAGCAGTAGCGCACTCGCCTGGCATGTGTGCAGCCTGGGTTCGATCCTCAGCACCACATACAAACAAAGATGTTGTGTCCGGCAAAAACTAAAATATGAATATTAAAATATTCTCTCTCTCTCTCTTTAAAAAAAAAGAATATGCAAGTAGGATCAACTGATGCGCATATCACCAAATTCTTGACAGCAAATGAGAAAAGACAAAGGGTCCTTCCACCAGCCAAGAAGTTGATTCACAAAAGGGTGAACTTCCTTTGTGACAGGGAAGGATAAATTTGCCAGGAACATGACTATTTTCCCTGGGCCTCATATTTCCACTGTAAAGTACTCGTTCATTCAACAGATACCTATGGAGTGCCTTCAATGGTTAGTTAGAATCCTGTTCTACATGGTCACCCAAACTGCCAGAGGATGCCTTTAAAATAGCATTTCAATTATTAAATATAATTTAACATGATTTTTTTGTAGCTCCTGTCTCCCTCATAGCCTTATTAATGGGACTCTGGGTAACTTGAATATTTCTGAAAGGAAAAAGTGTAGATGTCTTACTAAATTTAGATGTTTTACTAATGCCTTCACCTTAGTTTGAAATATTCCCAGAAAGATCTGAGCTCTGAGCTCAACAAGGGTGCAGTGTTTGAGCAATGGTTTTCCCTAGTTTGAAAACTATAATCCATGAAAGAAGGAAAAGGAAAGGAGCATTTTAGGAGACTTACTTGAGAAAAACTCAAATCAGAAGCCAGAGTATCTAAATGAATTGTAACCAGAGTGGTTAGAAAGAGATGGAGAATTTAGAAACAGGAGAATGGAATGGAAATAAGAATAGGAGATAGAACTTCTTGGGGCATCAGGTACAGGGGAACGGGGCGAGTGCATATGGCAGTCATGAAGGTGCCATGATTGATTGACAGACCCAGGTCTGTTGAGGGCCACAGCCGAGTCGGGATGACGCATGGCATTTTTGCCAGAAGTAGTGGTTGAGAGGTGACGCCAGCGAGCCATTAAGATGATGACTTTTGAGTTCTCGTGGAGTTCCCGTTGAGTTCCGGTTGAGCTCTCACAGGGATTCCTGAAGAGTTCGCATTGGTTGGGGAAGTGCTGGAGGAGGGATTTAAGGTTGGTGGTTCCTGGAGGAGCCGCGTGGGTGGCATTCGGGAGAGTTCCCTGGGAGCGTGTGTGGAGTGTGCTGGTGGAGTTCAGAAATGAAGTTTGTTCCTGCTTCAGTGGCTCGTGATTTGTGCCCAGCCAGACTGCGGCACAGGTCTTCCCTCTGGATCTACCTCAGTGTTGGTGTCAAGGCCATGCTTCCCATAGACTCTGCCTGACCACTGCAGGCTACTAAGCCAGACCCATTTGGCAAGATGGGGAAGCCCTCTAACTTGAAGAGTCTGAATCAATCTGTGGTTTCTTGAAACCACACTACAGTGGTGGACTCTTCCTAGTCACCCTCCATTCTCTGTCTCTTTCAACAGTTGTCACACCTTCATCAACCAAAGCCTCTCCCTGCCTTTTTCTCCCTCTACTAATAAATCTCTAATATGTCTAATTCTGGTTTTGTGTCAGCTTCTTGGGAGGTGTGAAGTAATGCAAGTTCAACCAAGAGCTGTCTAAGAAAGCAAACAGTAAGATGAGGATTTGGGACTGGCTTACTCGCAACCCTCGGAGATTAGATTATGGTTAAAATGAAGTCATAGAGGTTAAAGTGAGCATATCGTCACTATGGTCAAAATAGATAGGCAGCCAATAAAGCCCCACCTAATTTCTACAAACAAAAACCAACCAAACAAACAAAAACAGTAAGCTAAGGCTGAGGGCAGTCACCCTAATAAAGAGTCACAATCCAGGATGGGGATGTAGGTTGGAGGCAGAGTGCTTACCTACCATGGGCCAGGCCTGGGTTAGTCCCCTGCATCTCTCTCTCTCTCTCTCTCTCTCTCTCTCTCTCTCTCTCACACACACACACACACACACACACACACACACACGGGACTATCCATCCCATTGAGGGAAAAGGGGGGCCAGGTCCCTACAAGGAAATATTTTATAACATTGAAACACATACACTGTAATGAATTCCCAATCTTTTCTCCAAAAGAGACCAACAGCTGGGGAAAGACCAACAGCTGGAGAAAGGGAAATGCCAATTTTCATCACTACTGGACCAGGTCTGGGTAAATTCTGATATCCAAAGATTTAAAGCATGATTACAGCCTCCTGTTACAGTGGTAGCTTAAGGGGGCCAGGTTATAAATGGAGTCTTTGCTAAAGTCATGATTACCATGGGACCACTGTGTCCCCAGATCCATACAGCGAGCATTTTCACAGACCCTGTGTATAACTAGAATCAACATACTTGACAGTTGAAGTCACCCTACATTGGATCCTTGGCTTATGGGATAGCAGCTATCATAATGGGGAAGATCAAGCCTCTGAAGTGCCCCCAGCCCTAGCAAAGATAGTAAGGAAAAATATTATATCCCAGGTTGGAGGAGGATATAAATGCCATTACAGATCTAAAAGATACAGGGGTGGAAGTTCTTCTCAAGTACCGGTTTAATTCATTAGTCTGGATCCTGCAGAAACCAGATGGATCCTGAAAAATAATCATAGATTATCTCAAATTCATCCACCTAGAAACCAAATCACAGCTGCTATGCCAGACGGGGTATCATTGCTAAAACAATTAATAAGCCCTTGGGCATATGCTGTGCAGCCACTGATTTAGCAAATTCATTCTTCTCAATTCTGATTATGAAAGATCAGAAACAGTTCACATTCGTGTGAGACAATATTCATTTTCATCTTGGCCTCAGAGCTGTATTAACTTTCCTGCCCTCTCCCGTAATGCAGTCCAAAGAGATATAAACCTGAGACATCCCACAGAACATCCCACCAATCCATTACATTAATGACATCATGCTGATTAGGCAGGACAAGTAAGAAGTGTCTTAGGTGCTGGAGGTCTCAGTAACAGAGTGAGAGATAAACCCTTCAAAGATTTAGTGAAGTGAGCTTGAGTGATGTCTTCGGGGGGCCAGGGGGTTGGCAGGATAGTCTTTCTAATGTAAATAATAAATTGCTACATTTTGTATCTTCTACCTCAAAAGAGGAAGCAAAGTTCCTTCTAGGCTTTCTTGCTGGAGGCAACATTTGTCATACCTAGAAATACTGCTCCAACTCATTTATTGAGTGACACTGCAAAGTGCCGGTGTAGAGTAGTTCCTGGAGCAAGAAAAGGCTTCATAACAGGTCCAGACTACAAGGCAATAAGCCTTGCCACTTGGGCCAGAGTCCAACAGACTCTTAGGTGTCAGAGGTTATAGTAAAAGAGAAAGATGATAGGTGGAGTTTATGGGGAGCTCCAGTGGAAGAAGCATAATACATCCTCCTGGGATTCTGGAGCAAGGCCATGATCTACAGCAGAGAATTATAGGCTTTTGGAGAAACAGCTCCTAGTATGTAATGAGAAACCAGCCTCTACCTCAGAGCAAAGCCTGTCCAAGGAAGGGGGCGTGGCCCTTGTCCTTGGAAAAGCCCACAGAGCACTCCTAGGCACATACCCACCCTGCTGAGTTGTTTATCTATAAATAACAGGCGAGATCTGCGGAGCCAAGTGTCCCTGACTCAGTCAGGCTAGGTGAGGATGCATAGCAACCCCCTAGCAGCCACCAATCAGCATGAGACAGGAAAAATACCTGGGATGCCAGATGACCCTCCCAGTAGTTTATGGTGGTTGATAACATGTTGGGAAACCATGTAATTCAGCACGTACTCCCTTCGTGGCTTAAACCAATCAGTTCAAACGAATCCCCCTCTTGTACTAACCAATCACCCTTACCCAACTTGTTCCTGCCAGTGAATGTGCTAATCAATGTTAAGAGTTGTTGTTTGATTTTTTCCGCGGTGTGTGATGATTTGCTAAGAGATGCTATGATGTATGTGAAGTCCCTGCCTTCCCCAAAGAGTGTATAAAACTGCTGCAAACCCTGGGCTCAGGGCCTCTCAGCATCACCAGTTGCTGTGTAAGTGTGGAGAACCAAGCTAGCTCACAATAAACACCTCTTTGCTGCTTACATCGATCTTGGTCTCTGGTGGTCTTTTGGGGGTCCTGAATTGGAGCATATTAGTAATTGAGCTCTGTTAGATACAAAATTCTTCTGCATAGAGCACCCAATAACTATGAGTTCAAAACATCCCTTTATGAGCTGAATTCTTTCATAAAGTCGAAAGTCATAAAGTCAGTCAGGCCTAGCAACAACCCGTCAAATGATGAAAACATACATCTGGGATCAATCCTGAGCAGG